CCTTATACCCCCCTTATAGACCGGCTTCGTGAATGAGGCCTACTAACGGTAAGACTGACTTATTCTTATACATATCTATATATTTAAACTTTTAATATAATAATAGTATAAGGGTTGAATTTTAAACTTTTAAAATTCTAAGGTTCAATTTGGAAATTAAAATATTAGAGTGTAAGACTTTACAAATTCCAAAACTTGAGGGCAAGTATTGAAACTATTCAAGACTTTTCATTTCATAACTTATGAGTTTAATGGTCCATTAAAATGAAGACTCTTCATTTTATATAACCTCTTATTCTTTAATGACACTTTTAAAGAAGTGACTTTTGGTTATCCATAACTTGAGGACAAGTTATGGACTCCATCATTAGGCATTAAGATCAAGAACCATATTAACAAGCAAGTTACATATAATTCCTATGATCTTCTAAAACTCATAAGAACATGAACATTCATATCAAAATTTCAAGAATCATATTAACACATATAAAACATGGAATTTTGATATTAGCCATTGTAAATGGATTAGCATAAGCATTACACCATCTAAAACAAGTTTTAAAACACCAAAACAGTTTAGGGTAATGTTTCTAGTCCATTTCCAGTAGCAAAACTCGAAAATCTGCATTCACGGGCTCCTACTCGTCGAGTGCAAGAACCTACTCGACGAGTAGGATGAATTAACTCATGGACTCGTCGAGTCCCCCCATGGACTCGGCGAGTTCATGCTGCAGAATGCAGAAAACTGAGTTTTTCAACAAGTTTGCATCAAGTATCAAACAAACAAGCCTAGGCTCTGATACCAGTGTTGCGTTTTGAGCATTCTAACACTCCTATGGTATACATGCAACCCTATAAACCTTGGATCTATGTTTTCTCTAAATACATGCAAATTTGATTTTCCAAGGTTTACTTCCTAACTAGCATGTTATGGGGAACTTGTAATATAAAACTCAAGTAGAATAACATACATTTTAGTAGCTTGGATTCCTTGATGAGTTTGTGAGCCTAGCACCCCAAATGTGATGCCTCAAATGCTTCACACAACACCACAATTCTCGGAATAACCTTGAGAGAAGTTCATTATACTCAAAAATCGGCTAGCCCTCTTACTTGCATGTAGTAGTGCCGATTTTTGCTAGACAATGAGTCTTTATATAGTTGTGACACAAGTAGGGTTACACCATGTAAACCCTAATTGTCATGGCTTTCCATATTCCATGATCCATGGGTTTGTAACCTCCATGGACTATCCATGGAGCACCTTATGGGTTTTAACCCAATCCATACAAACCATGGATCATTATCCCACTATACAAGAATAGATTATTTACACAATCAACCCCATATATTTAATTAGTCTCTTTTTGATCACTTAATTAATTCCAGATTAATTCTTTGATCAATACTAATTAAATAATATTATTAATATATCAGTACTTATAATATATTAATAAACCTTAAGTGTCCTTTCTCTCATTTTGGACCATGCCGGGTCGGGTCAAGTACATACCAAATATAGTTATGGACTTAGACACTATATCCAACAGTTACTACGTGGTTAACTGGGATTATATTGGGAATAGAAGTGTTATCATATCTCAAGGTCAACTCCCCTTGTCTTATTCACTCCTTATGTCCGTAAACACCATAGAATGGAGTTGTTTACGTCCATAGTGCTTCCTAGAATGGAGTTTACGCCCACTAGGTGGTCCACCAAAGGTGTTTACGCCCAAGCATTACTCCATAATGTAGTTTACGCCCTAGTGTGGATTCCCTAAGGTGTTTAGGCCGGAAGATTGATTTCTAAAGTAGTTTACGCCCTAACATACCTCATTTAAGGTGTTTACGGCCAAATGGTGGTCCATCAAGGAGGTTCACGGCCAAGCTTTGGCTCCTAGGGTAGTTCACGGCCTAACTTTGGTCGATTAAAGTGTTCACGGCCAAGCATGGCCCCCATGGAAAGGTTTACGATCTTGGATGGTTCCTAGGAAGATGTTTATGGTCTTAGTTAATAAGAAACTCTAATATGTTGGCCTTGTAGTTTGAGTGTTCAAGGTTGTAACATAAATACAAGTTCTTGTGCTAACATTCATTTGATTCATGTTTGATTGTATTATTTACTCAAAACTTATTGCATCTAGAACTCCAATTTACTTGCCAAACTTTGCCTTGCTAAACTTGTTTACTTTTAAGAGGTTACCTTATAGATGATTTCTAAAGTGTATCCTTCCATGTACAAGCACATATGCCCTTTTAGTTTTTAAGGTTTTCATTGTAATAGGGTTACAAAGTTAGACCTTGCTTGATTCAAAATTTTCGGGTTGTCACACTAAACATATAATTGGGCCTAGCCCTAGGGTATATTCCAACCCAAAACACAAATATGGGCCCAACCCTGGGGTTTATTTCAACCCGATCAAACAAATATGTAAAACTCACATAACAGCTAGCATTCTACATAAAAATATAATTGGCGGACATTGGTGCCTTCGACCCACGGATACAGTGAGAAGACTCACATCTGACAGAAGATAACTATATCGCACACTCGAGCTGCTGCCAACCCGGCTCCTCACACTAATTATACCCCAATAATAACCCTAGTTAATAATTGGGGTTTAACACACAAATAATGGTCCAAAACATAATTTATCCTACCAAGGGCAAAAAATCATTTTTCCCCTCCACACATGGCCCAACCAACCAAGCCCAAAACTCCCTAGTGACCTAAAGTTTCAATACAGCTCAAAAGGCTTCCTGAGCATACGCCCGGCGTACACCGTGCTACGCCCAACGTACAGCTCATCCTCGGAAGGTTTACGGGGTCGCAACCAGGTACGCCGAACATACCCTAGATTAGGCCCAACATACTTGACAGATTCCAAAAACTCTATTAAGGTCTTAATGCCTTAAGTCCTTGCGTCCAAAATTCAGATCAAAGTCTAATGAACATCTATAATCATAAAGTTGCAAACTTTATGTCTTTGCATGGCTACAAGGAGTCCAAAATCTAATTCTAAGTTTTATTCATGACCACAAGTCTTAATAGATTCATCATGCATGATTGGGAAGGACCAAGGTCCCATTTTTATGAACCACCATGCTCTAAAATGAAAGGAAACTCTTCTCAATAGGTCTGGAGTTGCTCAACTCTCAAGATCCAAGGCTATGGGACCATTAATGAACAAATCTTATTATAAAGCTAGATCTAAAGAATTATATGTCAAGGTTGGAGCTTTATACCTCCAAAAGGTACATAAGGGAGAGTAATTGTTGGATCCAAAGGCTAAAGTGAAACACCACAACTCCAAGAGTCTTCATTCACCACCAAGAACACCCAAAATGACCTTCTAAGTCTTCAAAGCACACACACTCAATTAGGGTTTCGAAGTGGAGGCTAAGAGAGGTAGAGTCTGGAGTTAAGAAAAGGTGTGAGGCCATAATGATCCTTAAATAGGTAGGAGTGTGCAGAAATTAACCGATCCAATTGGAACCGACCGATCCAATTACAAAACGACCAATTGGATTGGATATCCAATTACAATTGGATTGGATCGGATGCGAAATTTCACAATCCAATTGGATTGGATCGGTTAATGGATCATCATGAAAATCCAATGGATAACCGAACCAATCCAATCCAATTCGATATCCAATTTAATCTAATATTATTATCCAATCCAATTACTATTATTACATATTCAATAAAAAATTAAGTTGAAAACTTAAAGTTAATGTTACTTTGTTAGTTTTATTTAGCATAATTATGTGCAATTTTATTTTTAGTTATCATAGTTATATTTGGTTATTCAATAGAAAAGAATTAAAATTAGTTGGATGATGGATAACAAATGGATTAAACCAATAAAAAATATCCAATGGATAAAATCAATCCAATCCAACATGCAATTGGATCGGATCGATTTTTTATATTAAATTGGATAAGATCAGTTGATAAAATCCAAAATCAAATGGATGATTGGATTGGACCGGTTCCATCAAAATCCATTGGATTTGAACCGATGAATACCCTTATAAATAGGGTCCAAACCCTAAAAATTAAGGTTTTCCCTCTGAAGCAATACGCCCAACGTATGCAAGGGATTCGTGATCCTCACTTACATGCCTACACCCGACATACCTATCTCGTATGCCCAACGTATGTACCATATTTGCAAACTTTTTAAAAAATTGAGCCACAATTGAACATACTTGGAACATTGGTGTTACAATTACACAAATTTTACTGAGATGACTCATAGACCTTACATGTTGGAATTCTATATCATCAATATTCTTTTTCGTTCTTTCTCTCGTCCTTCCATTTATCAATATCCTTTCTATTCTATTTCGATTGACAACTGATTATTAATAATTTTATCTATATCCCCCTTCTAGAAAACGTCATGGTTTGGTAAGACACCACATAATTAATATTTTTTATGTGTGCAATTGGAGTACATGTTTGAAATTCCCAAGATTAAAAGAGTTATTTCAAGTTTGTTAAAAACTATACTACTATGTTTTGATAATTAAATTTAGAACTACAACACATTGGTAAATACTTTTTTAAAATACTACTTCTTGTACAAAACTCACATAAAATTATATAAGGTAGGTATAGAATGTCCAATCCGTTGAGCCTTGACCAAGTATTTATACCATACTAAATTACTTTATTATAAAATTATGAAAAAAAAAAAAGAACATTGAGGAGTTGATATCATCTTTTTTGTCTATTCTTACAAACTCTAAGCAAATCAATTGACAATGTAATAAAAGGACTATTTATGTAATTTACCATATTGAAACCATCAAATATAGTAGTTGAACATGAAGGATAATCTAGTAAATTTCACATACAATAACAGTTGACATTCATCACCTACTATTTACCAAATCCATTACAAAAACTCAAGTGTCACCAATAGAATTCTTTTTCCAAGTGATATCAACATCGAAAACAAAGTCTAACCAACTGAAAAGCATTGTTGTATATTTTTTTCATTATCAACTGTCAGTTTTCGGATGGAAAATTCGTAGAAAAGTTGGGTTTTGTATCAGATGCTGACATGCTGCACCATGGCAGGTCTACGTGGCTATGAGTCTATGACCAATTCTTGTTTCTTTATTCTCTGTTTTCACACAAGTTTATATAACATGAGAAGAAGAAAGGGTGAGGCCTGGTGGGTGTGCCAAATGTGACCATTTACTGTCTAAATATCTTATTGTAGCCTGGAAGAAGATATAGTTTTATTTAGATAAATGGGTTCAAGAATTTCGTTATGGATGCTGATTGTTTGCACTCAAATTTTGGTAATCACAGCTGTGACAGATGGAAATGATGGTAAGTTTATTGATAATCTGTGTGTAGAGTTTTTATGACTTTTATATATATGGTTAAGTTTGTCTTGCACTTTTGAGTCATGGTCTGTTGATATGCTCCCCTCATTTCAGAAATGAGATCACTATCAATTGTTCTACACTATAACTTAAACTCTATATAATAGCCCTACCTTATATAAAATAGCCCTACCTTAATGTTGTCACATTTTTAAATCAGAACTCTCAAAGATAGCTTAGTATTTGCTTTATCGGTGATTGGAGTTATAATATTTGAGGTAGCTCCAACCATCATTACCGAAGATCCTCTCTATACATCACATAACCTTTCTATTCCCAATTAAAACAACCCCTCATGTATGTTCTACATCATAACTCGATCTGAATGTTACCTTAAACGTATTTTGCGTTTTATTTTGTTGATATAAACCTGAAAAATCTCGGTTATTCTTGTAGTTGGTGTGCTAAATGCTATAAAGTCTAGCTGGCAGAACTTTCCACCTAATTGGAGGGGTCAGACCCATGTGGAAGTAATTGGGACGGAATTAACTGCACAAAGTCACGTGTAACCCACTTGTAAGTTGTAGATGTTTCAATCTTTTTACAGAATTTTAGAAAAATATAAACCTTTATTTCGTTTTAATTTATGTTTGAACCCTTCCATTACAGAGTGTTGGCAGGCATGGGGGTGAAAAGTGACGACATTGGAGACATTCCATCACTTTCCCAGTTGATATATTTGTATATATGTTTTCCATTTGCATTACATTTCATATATTCCTATACTTCTTTTCTTTATTTTCTCTTCCTCTTATTGTTTCTAAGATATTCGTATTATTGATTAAGATTAACACTCTTTTCGGAAAAACAAACTATTTTCAGTGTTTTTAAGTTGACAGTAAACCGATTTTATTGAATAATTAATTAAGATTGAAACAACCTTTTTTTACCTGCTATACCAGGCATAAAATATCATTTTACAAACCATTTATTTTCTTGTGTTGGTTTGATTCTATGAGTTTTGATTTATTTCTTGTGTTGGTTGTAACACAATTTTAAAAACGTTTTAAAAAGTTTAAAAATGTTCTAAAAACCGTTATAAAAAAGTTGTATGTAAAATAATTGTAAAAAAGGTTTTAAAAGGTTGTACAAAAGAGTGTAATTAGGGGTGTAAGTGAGCCGAGCTACTCGCGATCTACTCGGAATCGACTCGTTAAAAGCTCGACTCGAGATCGAATTAAACGAGCCCGAGCCGAGCTCGAGCCTAAATATGAGGCTCGTTTATTAAACGAGCTCGAGCCGAGCTTCACGCGAGCCTAAATGAGCCTAAACGAGCCTATATATATATATATATATATATATATATATATGTGTGTGTGTGTGTGTATGTGTTGGTGTGTTGTGTATATATATATATATATATATATATATATATATATATATATATATATATATATATATATATATATATATATATAATATAGGCTCGTTTAAGCTCGTTTAGGCTCGCGAGCTCACTAAATTGTTCACGAGCCGAGCTCGAGCTTCATTTTAAGGCTCGAATCGAGCTCGAGCTTCTTCAAAATTAAACGAGCCGAGCTCGAGCTTGGTTAGGCTCGGGCTCGGCTCGGCTCGTTTACACCCCTAGGTGTAATTTTGTTTTTTATTAAAAGTTCAAAAACAATTTGTAAAAAAAAAATTTTTAAAAAAAGTTATGTTGTAAAGAAAAACCAATTTTGGGGAGAATAGTAAAAAAAAAGGTTTTGAAAGTTTGGAGCAAAATTGTAACCAAGTTTAAAATTTGAGTTAAAAGTGTAAATTTATACAATAAAATTGGTTTGCTGAGAAATTGAAGACACTTGATATAACTTTTTCCCAAAAATATAGTGTTAACCTTATTAATTATTTCTAGAACTTGACATTTCTCAATTTAATTTTTCCTATAGAGATCTTTCCAACAACAAAGGAATTAAAGCTCCTCTTCCACCATCAATTCAGAATTTGAAGAGCTTGACCACATTGTAAGAAATCCATTTTACTTCTCAAATGCAGCAACCTGGTTTATCTTATTTTTGTCTGATTGTTTAAAACCTTGTCTGATTTTTCGTGTATAACAAAAAACTCCATGCATCTAGAATACTGGTTGGTTGCAGTTTTTTTGGTCCAATTCCTGATACAATAGGATCCCTCGAGCAACTAATATTTTTGTAAGTATTCCAAATTCTTGTTCATGTTGTATCTCTTGATAATAGATTAACTACCATGCCATTTTTAATTTAAAACAAAATATTTGTAACTATTCCTGATTCTGTCCCTTGTGTTGCAGAGGTCTGAATAATAACAGCTTCAGTGGAACTATCCCACCATCCATTGGTAATTTGACCAAACTCTCATGGTTGGATCTAAGTGATAACAAGCTTCAGGGACCCATTCCTGTGTCTAATGGAACAGCCCCTGGTCTTGATAGGTTAAAGAATGCAAAACACTTGTAAGTTTTGTATCTTTTGTACATTTGTCAGTTTATTAAACTTTTAGAGTGATTTTTCTCACCCGTGTTATCTTAATCTTATGGCAATTATGCAGCCATTTAGCAGATAATCAGTTATCTGGTGACATTCGATCTGAACTGTTCAGATCAGATATGACCCTAATACATGTGTAAGTATCACATTACCTGATGAAAGATCTCAAGTGTAATTGGTTGACATATATATATATATATATATATATATTATATATATATATATATATATACATACACTTTTCAAACAGGATATTCAACAATAATCGGTTATCTGGAAATATTCCTTCTTCGATAGGACTTGTGAGTACTCTTCAGGCAGTGTAAGCATCATTAATTAATAATCCTTGAACATTATAGCTAGATCTGAACATATTTAATTTATTTGTTTTTTCCATCCTTGATTTCACAGACGCCTGGACTCAAATTCCTTGGATGGGATAGTGCCTCAAAACATCACGAATCTCAAAAGTGTTAGTAAGCTGTAAGTGATAAGAGAAGTCGATCAATGTTTTTGTTGTGTATAATAGTTTTATTTGGTGGTTGAGATTTATTCATTTTTAGATACTTGTCGAACAACAAACTGAGTGGACCTGTTCCAAATCTCACAGGAATGGTCTCCCTCTTTTATGTGTAAGTTAATTTAAAGTTTAAACGTCATAAATCATCATCTTCTAGTTGTTAACATGACATATGATGCCATTCTCAGGGACATGAGCAATAATAGTTTTGATGCATCAGATATTCCTACATGGTTCTCAGAACTTCCATCTTTGACAACATTGTAATCTTTCTTTCACTCATTTCATGTCTTTCACCAGAACGACTAGTCCTAAGTAGTTCCTTAATCTGTGTGTGTGTGTGTGTGTGTGTGAGTGAGACCTTTCTCTAAAAAATATGGAGGACTTTATTATTAAGCATGCTTAATCTTCTACTAACAGATTGATGGAGAAAACTCAACTTCAAGGAGAAATCCCATCAACTCTCTTCCAACCTCAGTTGGAGAAATTGTGAGTATCAACTGCATGCTTGCTACTCAAGTTAATCTGCATATTCAATTGTATCATTTAACATTTGAAACAATAGAACATGAACTTATTTATATTCACAGGGTGCTAAGCAACAATGGTCTTAATGGAATACTGGATGTGGGCAACACCTATAGCAGTGATTTGAATGTTGATCTGACAAACAATTCAATTGCTGACTTCAATCAGAAATCCGTATACAATATGACCTTAAAGTGAGCTCATTATTAGCCTTGAATATTTCCAATTACCATCCATTAAATTCTTATTGAAATACTTTTCTACTACTTTCCAGTCTTGGAAGTAATCCAGTGTGTGAAGGAGGAGCAACAGGAAGATATTGTGCAACTGGAAAGACGAATATACAAAGCCGTTCACCATCAAATAGCTGTAATCCTGTGCGCTGCGGTTCAGATAAAGTGCCAAGTCCCAACTGTACATGCGCACATCCATACATAGGAACCATAACTTTTTTACTCCATTCTTTCTCAAACTTAGATAACACCACCTACTTAAACTTCTCAATGATGCTTTGATGTCAGCCTTTCGAAAGGAACAACTTCCAGTCGAATCATTGTCTATTTCCAATGCAATTATTGGTGAATACCTTCAATATACATTGCATATCTTTCCCTCTGGTCAAGATCCTTTTAATCTTTCACAAGTCTCTTCAATAGGGACTGTGATCAACCGCCAAAAACCAGACCTCATAATTCTCCCACGCTTTGGTCCCTTCTTCTTTCTTGATGATCATTATTTTGAAGGTAATTATTCATTTCAATCATATAAGAAAAAGAGGCTTTTTTATTTTGTCACTAAATCTTGAAATTAAGGTGTATACAACTATAAATATGGGAAACACGATTTCTGATTTTGATTATCCACAGGAGACAAGTCATCGAATCATGGTGCTATCATTGGGGTAGCAGTTGGTAGTTTTGTGATCGTATGCCTGGCTATAAGTTATGCTATCTATCAGAAAAGACGGGCCACACGAGCGAGACAGAGCAATCCTTTTGGTAAGACTAATTGGAGCATAAGACAAGGGTATTCTCGTCTTTTTACAAGTTCATATGCTTACACGCATATGTTTTGATAATGCAGCATCTTGGGTGATGGATAATGGTAGTGATGTGGGTGGTGTTCCTGAATTGAAAGGAGCAAGACTTTGTTCATTTGAAGAACTCAAAAGATGCACCGATAATTTTTCAGAAGAAAACGTAATTGGATCTGGGGGCTATGGGAAGGTATCTTCATGTTGCATTCATTGCAGTTTTTATCACTACTACTTCTCTTGTATATATATGATCAGGCTTTACATACTTGTATTACATTCTACTCTATTGATCAATATGCATGCTTATTGATATATGTGAACTATTGTGTTATTGTTTGGTAAGTGACAAATTCCTAAAACGGGTAAGATGCTGACTTGCAGGTTTATAGAGGGACTCTTACCACTGGCCATGAAGTTGCAATCAAAAGAGCTAAACAAGGGTCATTGCAGGGTGCTCAAGAATTTAAAACAGAAATTGAGCTTCTTTCAAGGATTCATCATAAGAATGTGGTAGCTCTTGTGGGGTTCTGTTATGAGCAAGGTGAACAAATGCTGGTGTATGAGTACATTTCAAATGGTACTCTAAAGGATAACCTTTCAGGTAGATTTACATCTTTCTTGGCTTTTTTCCTTTCGTCCAAAGGGGTGATATTAGATTTAAAAAAAAATGAAAGATGATTGAAATTGTACATGCAGGGAAGTCAGGAATGAGGCTGAATTGGATGAAGAGGCTTACAATAGCTCTTGATTCTGCCAAAGGTCTGACATATTTGCATGAGCTTGCAAATCCTCCAATCATACACAGAGACATCAAATCAAATAACATTCTGGTTGATGATCAGCTGATTGCTAAGGTTGCTGATTTTGGTTTGTCCAAATTGTTGGGAGATTCAAAGGATTATGTATCTACTCAAGTGAAGGGGACACTGGTAGGTGTTAAAGTCAAATTGCATATGCCTGATGTTGATTGTCTACTTTTACCCCTGAAGTTAACAGTATTTACGTTTTGATCCTTTCTGAATGCAGGGTTACATGGATCCTGAATACTACATGACCCAACAGTTGACCGAAAAGAGTGATGTTTACAGTTTTGGAGTTGTACTTTTGGAGCTTTTAACTGCAAGACCACCAATACACAAGGGTAAATATATTGTGAGGGAGGTTAATGAGGCGATTGACAATTCTCCAAATGAACTCCACAAGATTCTTGATCCATATCTTGGTTCATCCAAAACAGTTGGAGGTTTGACCAAATTTGTGAATCTGGCAATGAGATGTGTCCAAGATTTAGGAGTTGATAGGCCTAAAATGGGAGATGTGGTGAGAGAGATTGAGGCTATTATAAATTTGGCTGTTGTAAACGTTGATGCTGAATCACCATCTACTTTCTCAACCCAAAATACAGGAAAAGTTGAGGACCTTTATCATCCATATAGTGATTCAGTCTCTGATTCGAGTAGTTTGTATGTACCATTTGAAACAGAACTACGCAGGTGAAAACAAGATTGTAAAAATGTGAATTTAGAAAGATTCAAACTACATGAACTTTATGGTATGTTGTTTTTATATCAAACCAAACATTTGTTAACTTAAGCAAAGTTTTTCACATAAGACTTCTTTAATTGCAAAGAAAGTTGTTGTTGCACTAACTATTTCATCTGTGTTTCTTGGATAAAGTGGGGCAACTTTTTATTTTTGTCTCAGGTTGTTCGTTTTGATCACGCTTCATGACTGAATTACACCTCAGTTTCTTAAGTCCTGAATCAAGTTTTCTTGTATTTCGGTATATTTTGTTGGGATGTAAAGTAATGATTCCAATTTATATACAATTCTAAGTAGGGTAACTAAATCAAATCAAGACCCAATTTAGAGACATTCTTGCTTTTCCAAGAGGCTATATTACCTCCAACATATATCCAAATTATTACCTTCCAGTACAAAATATAATATCATAAACTTCATATATTTGAATCATTCTAAATCTACATATTAATAAGTTTTCTTCCATATGTTTCCATATATACCAACAAATGTTCTTGTTTTCATCATCTTCCCACAATTCACCTTCTCAGCTCTGTTTCAAATGGTAGAGTCAAACTACTCACATCAGAGACCGAATCACCATACGGATGATAAAGATCCCCAACTTCTCCTTTATTTTGACTTGAAAAATTAGATGCTGACTCAGCATCAAGGCTTAAAACAGCCAAATCTATAATTCTTTCAATCTCTCTCACAACCTCTCCCATTTTAGGCCTTTCAACTCCTGAATCTCGGACACAACTCATTGCCAAGTTTAGAAATTCAGTCAAACCTCCAAGGTTTTGTGAAGAACCAAGAGAAGGATCAAGAATCTTGTATAGACCATTTCGGTCCCCCGACTTTCCAATTGCTTCATTTACCTCCTTCACAATGAATTTACCCTTATGTATTGGTGATCTTGCAGTTAAAAGCTCCAAAAGTACAACTCCAAAACTGTAAACATCACTCTTTTCGGTCAACTGTTGGGTCATGTAGTATTCAGGATCCATGTAACCCTACATTCAGAAAGGATGAAAACGCAAATACTGTTAACTTCAAGGGTACAACTTGACAATTGGCATATTTTAGACCCACAACAAAAACAAAAAAAGAGACCCTTTGAATCATCTCTCAACACGTACCAATGTCCCCTTGACTTGAGTAGATACATAACCCTTTGAATCATCTCCCAACAGTTTTGACAATCCAAAATCAGCAACTTTAGCAATCAAATTATCATCAAGAAGAATGTTAGTTGATTTGATGTCTCTGTGAATGATTGGAGGATTAGCAAGCTCATGCATATATGTCAGCCCTTTTGCAGAATCAAGAGCTGCACTAAGCCTCTTCACCCAATCCAACCTCATTCCTGCTTTTCCTGTATTCAAAATTTCAAAAAATTTACAAGTTTAGCTAAAAAAAAGCATGCAAGTTTTCTCTATAAAAACATGTGTATGTAAATTTTACCTGTAAGATTATCTTTTAGAGTACCATTTTGAAATGTACTCATAGATTAACATTTGTTCGCCTTGTTCATAACAGAATCCCACTAGGGCTACAACATTTTTATGATGAATCCTTGAAAGAAGTTCAATTTCTGTTTTGAATTCATGAGCACCCTGTAATGACCCTTGTTGAGCTCTTTTGATTGCTACTACATGACCAGAGTCAAGAGTCCCTTTATACACCTGTGAGTCAGCATTAAAAAATAAATTAAATAAAGAATGAAGAAATTGAAATATAATAAAAAGATACCTGTCCATATCCACCAGATCCAATTAAGTTTTCTTCTGAAAAATTGTTTGTGCATCTTTTGAGTTCTTCAAATGAACACCATCTTGCTCCTTTCAGTTGAGGAACACCACCCACAATACTTCCATTATCTAACGCCCAAGATGCTGTATTATTATGGAAGTAAGTAAGTAAGCATGTGAAGTTGTTGTAAAAAGACGAGAATACCCTGTCTTACCAAAAGGGTTGCTGTGTTTTGCTCTTGTTGCGTTTCTTTTCTGATAGATGGCATAGGTTATAGCCAAGGCTATTAGTAATAGGATCACACAACCACCAACTGCTGCCCCAATGATGATGCCATGATTCGATGACTTGTGTCCTGTTATTTGCCCATGTACACCTTTCAAGGTTTAGTCATAAATATATAAGTTTCTTTTCTATATA